ACAAGTCTATCTCGGGCAAATCACCTGTACAAGTCTTACATCGCACCTCACCGAATACAGTAGCTTCTTGAACCTCACCTAGCTCACTAGTAATCAAGTACATCACCGGTCTTTGTAAGATCAACGTTTCGTTCAGTACATCATCACAATAATTAGTTAAAATTCAACTAAATTCAGTGATTCAACCTTATTAAAATTGCAGAGTATCAACAGTGACAATTTACCAGAGTGTAGAAATTATTAACGACGTGGTTCGATCCCACGAATAAACAGTGATATTTTTATAATTAGTGTCATCATTAATTTTCCAGCATCTCCCTCCACATTTTTCTCCCACATCCACCCTAAACCTAGTTCCTCACCAAACATACATTTATTGTAGCTCTCAATCGGCTCTACAAAAGGGTCCCGGAGATTTTCGAAGGTCATAATCAAAATTTTGCTATCTCCCTTAGATTCCGAGATATTCATTGGAAACTGGTCAATACCTAAAATTGACTTGTACCGTTTTACTTCACTACTGATATAAAATAGGCAACAAAAATATCCTTACAATATTTAAAATATCTTTTTGATTCTTTCAGAAACATTTTTTGGACTATTTTACCTGAATAGTGCATTTAAAAAGAAAACGAAATTAGCTATGTCGGAGTCGAATTTGAAAGAACTAATTCGTAATTCGACATCTCCTAATAAAAAAGGGTATTTCAAGTTTCTTTTTAAAACAAGGGTATTTCAAAATTAAATCATGGCGTTAAGACTAGGGTATCTCCCGTTTTCCTTCTCTTGACAGTTGTATAAATCGTACGAATGCATCAAAAAGTACAAAAAACATGAACTAGTTCACGTTGGAAGAGAAATAAAATGATTTGCGAGCTCCGTGAGACTTAGAAATGGATGTGAACAACAAGCTTTCACATGAATTTTGAGATACCCTTGTTTTAAAAAGAAAATTGAAATACCCATTTGTTTTATCAGAAGATGTCGAATTGTTATTGTAAACATTTTTTCAAAAATTTTGAAAACAAAAAACCTCTGTAGTTCAAAAATTGGAGGCCCTGGACTATTTCTAAAATTTTAAGCGTCTGCGGAGCAAACGAACAATAAACAATTAATTTTTTACGCTAGATATTCAATGTGTGAGAAATCTTATTCCAATGGCCCGCGACTTTTAAGACTCATAATAGTCTCACGGACGAAGAAATTTAATAGAAAAACCTCTCGAATTCGTTGGAAAATTCTATTGAATTTCTATTGAACTGTTCTATTAGTTTTTGGCTGATGCTATTGACATGTTCAATAGAAAACGCAATAGAAAAAGTCAACAGAATTCGATTTTTCTATGTAACTTATTCTTTTCATATATTTTCTATAGAATTTGCTCGACTCAAATTTTCCAAGTTTTTTCGTTTGATTTTCTTAATGAGAAAAAAAGAAGAATAGGATGAAAAAAACTTGGAAAATTTGAGTCGAGCAAATTCTATAGAAAATATATGAAAAGAATAAGTTACATAGAAAAATCGAATTCTGTTGACTTTTTCTATTGCGTTTTCTATTGAACATGTCAATAGCATCAGCCAAAAACTAATAGAAAGTTTAACAGACATTCAATAGAATTTTCTAACGAATTCGATAGGTTTTTCTATTAAATTTTTTCGTGCGTGCTCACGTTAATTGCTAGATTTAGAAGAACATAGGCGATATTTCCCGTGAAAAATTGCCCTAAAACATTTTTTTGTAAAAAATTTAATTCTCTACAAAAAAGGACTTCTCACATTTTTCCCTAGAATCATTTGTTTTCGAGATAATTGAATAATTAACAAACACGTTCAACTCGCCTTATTACGTTTTGTAATTTCATTAAAGTACTCATCATTGAATAGTTGTGTTCTCGTCGTCCGATCAATCATCTCCATCATATTCTATTTATTCATATTTATTTATGTATCACAAAGAGAGTAAAAAACCTAACAGCGAAATAAAATGAACTAGGAAATAGTTCTATTTCCGACATTCGTGAGCATCTGGAATGCCTCCCACGTGGCTCCAGGCTGTCTGTTCCATGAATATATGATTTCTCGTGATGACTGAGACCATGACTCATCGGCACTTAGTCTTACATTGTCAATATTTTGAGAACTACTCTTGCAGGAGTAGATTAAACACTTTTCAAGTCAGTGAATGACTCAAGTGGGTAAACTTTGCAGAAAAAAAATTGCGGGGATCAACACTAAGCGATTTACTAGAGACAAGACTTTGGACTATTCATTACTCTATGAAGCAACGACAAAAATTTTACCCTAGGAAAATGTTCCACAATTTTTTCAAAATCATTTCAACAGTCAAAAATCATTCGTTATTGAATTAAGACCAATTTTGATTTTCTCTCTGCTGATAAATATCGAATTGTCTCGTCAATCAGCGAATTTAGGAGAAAATCAGCAGCGAAGCGGTAAAATGGTTCGATTTTTACTATTGGCCAGTTTTCAATTAATATCTCGGAATCTAAGGCAGATTGCAAAATTTTTGTTATAACCTTTTTTGTAGAGCGAATTTAGAGCTACGAAAAAGGTGATCACGAAAATTTCGCTATCTCCATTAGATTCATAGATATTCCTCAAAAACTCAGTAGAGAGTTGAATCGACTTCAGACCCGGGTGGATTATCTTGCGAAGGTTATCTTGATTGTTGTTCCATCTGCATAATGTCAAATATATCACAATTTCTATTGGATTATACATCACATAGAAGTCCCTAAAAATTCTGATTGTACAATAAAAAAAAATAGAGAAAAACTGAGCATTTTCAAAGAGCGTTTTTAATAAAGATTAAGAAATAAGTAGTTCACGGATTTTTTCCCCCCGAAAAAATTCTCCAGAGAAAAATCCCCCGGATAACTATCCCTCTGGAACTAAATCCCCCGGAAAAAATTCCCGGAATTATTTCCCCTTACGAATGTAAAAAACAATTACACAAACACACGTTACCAACGTCAATTTTATTTATTACATCCTTCAATCTTCGGAGATACGCAGAATGAGAATTCAACTTTTTCAATACATCAATAATAAATAAATTACGTGACTGCAATAAATTAATTGTCAACATTTTCGAACCAATTACATTATATTAATCCGATAAAATTTTTCATCTCCGATTTTTATTCTTTGCAATTTTTTAAATGTATTCTATCAAAATGTGAGGGTAGAAATTGAAGTGATGGGTATTCTGTCATTATTTGAAAAAATTTATCAAATTTAAAACTTTCCGGAGACATTGAAAAATCGAAATTTTTATTTTCCTGGTGATCACGTATCTCTGTTCTTTCTTTCACTTTCTTCCATTGAAATTAAACCATAGAAAGGGAACACATTGATATTTTTTCGTCATTTAAAAAAAAATCAGTTTTTAAATTTTTCAGAAAAATAAAAAATCGTTTTCTTTTATTTTCTTGCTGATCATCTCTCCCTGCATTTTTCTCATTTCCTCTCAATGAAATCAGATTATGAAAACGAAAAATTTCATTGTCATGATCTGATTTCATTGAGACGAATTATTATATTATACTGATATTATTTAACATAAATATCTCTTCATTAGAAAATAAGAAAAACTGTTCCCACAATTTGTATACTACAATGGGAATAGAATCTAATAAATTTAATATAATCTAATCGCAAAGAAAAATTGGAAAGAAAACAATAAAATAAATTAATATAACAATATAATCTAGTCCGCTAGTCCCCCAAATTAATTCAAATTAATCTCTTGCCCCAATAATCAATGAATCTTCATTAACAAGCATTCTCGCCCTACAAAGTTGCAGATTTCATAAAAAAAACTGACAACATTCAACAAAACATCATCTTACACTACCGAAAGAATTCATTTCAAAAGAAACATATTTCCAAACAACCAGTCATGAATAAATAAATTCAGTAGCAAAGTGGTAAAACGATTGAAGTCGACTCATCTCCCAGTTGAGTTTTTGAGGAATATTTCCAAATCTAAGGGAAATAGCGAAATTTTCATAATCACATTTGTTGTAGCTCTCAATCGGCTCTACAAAAAAGGTTATAATAAAAATTTTGCTATCTCCCTTAGATTCCGAGATATTCATTGAAAACTGGTCAATAGTCAAAATTGACTTGTACCGTTTTATCACTTCGCTACTGAATTACATTTCCGAAAAATTAACGGTCAACGTTTTCAAAACAATTTCCCTACATACTTACTTTCCAACATTAACAATAAACTTAAAAAGTGTAATATGTTTATTTTTCATTTTTGCCAGAGATTTTTATTTCGGTAATTTTCAGAGGAAAATATTCTGGGGGAATAATTCAGGGGGAATATTTAGACGAGGGATTTTTTTCCACGGGGAAATTTTTCCGGAGGAATTTTGACGGGGAAATCTTTTTGGGGGGAAAAAAATCCGGTCACCGAAATAAGTCCGATAGAGAGGAAATAGTGAATGGATAATTTATCATGGTAATTAACGATCTGACAGCTATTGACTACTGGGACAAATGACGACCCAACAGCCATTAGATACATCAAATTATTAATTTGCAATTTCCTCCGTATTGATTTTATTTCCAAATATTATTCAAAAACGCTCATTGAAAATGCTCAGCTTTTGTTCAACGTTTTTTTGATTGTACAGTCATAATTTTTGGAGACTCCAGGGGTGTGTAAACCTAAATAGCAATTGGAAATCATTTCAGATTATCAAAATAAAAGAAAAATCAAGATCACATTCGCAAGATAATCCGGACCTCAAACCGTTTTACCGCTGCCCTACTGAAATGTAAAAAAAACTTTTTTTGGAAATGAAATTCTCCACAAAAACGACTCATCATACAAATAATTAAACAATTAGCAAAATGGTTTTTCTTCAATTTTTGTTGCTTCATCATGGAATTCGTTTTTAGAGAACAGAAAATGTTTGAAAAATTGTGGATACTGAAGAAGATAATAATGTGAAGAGTAATACATACCCAGACTCAGTTGTGGCTGGATTATAGTTGTTGTTGGTGTTAATACTGACGTTGTTGTTAGCCAAATTTGAGTTGGAGTTTTGCTCGACTGTTCCCAGGAGTGAAGACCACTCCCTCATCACTTGCTCACCCTGTGCCTCCAATTCTGAGATTATTGTGGCGTCGTCCAGCTCGTGCAGTGCAGGATTCGACTCCAGTCTGCGCAAAAACATAAGAATTAGAAAATTGATTTAAAAAATCAATCAACTCATCAATTGTTGCTTTCGAATGGAAGCATTGTAATCATTCAAATTCAAGGTTTAGATTTTTTCTGTCATATCGAAACATTATGATCCAAAACGGCCAAAAATGCAAATGAATAGATGGAATTGAAACTTTTTTTTTCAAATATAAGTATTGTTGAGCCCTATCGATCGCCATTAATTAAAATTTAAGGCCCGGGTGTACTATCTTTCGAACGTTATCTCCATGTTTTTTTTTCATCTTTCGTCCTCTAAAATTGTCAATTAAGTCCTGCATCATGCAGAAGTTTTGAAAAATTATGAATGAATAATAAAAAAAAAGTAGAAAAAATTTTTAATTTTTTCAAAGAGCATTTTTAATTTATATTCAGAATAAGTTGAATAAGGAGAAATTGAAAAATGTATCTGATTTATGGTGATAAATGGCGGCCTGTCATGGCTCTACTTCGCCTTTCGTTATTTTATTTATGTTATGACAGTCTTGAATTACCTTTTATTAACTTCATCATAAGAACTAACTTCGCTGCATTCGTAATCTAGCATGAGATCATCTGATGTGATAGATTCACAGGGAGAGAGGGTATTCACACTTCCAGTTCTGCTGATTCTCCTGCAATTTATGGGACTGTTCTCCACGCTCTTTCCGTGCGTTATACCTGTGAAGAACATTAAATTGCAATCAAGTGGTGGTCAAAAAGATCAAAATATTTCATGTCTAGACAATTTACAAAATATCTTAAAAATTGGAAGGTTCATTGAAAACCTTCTAAGGAACATTTTTATTTATGAATAGATGACGAATTTGCTCATGCAATTATCAAAACCCAAGTTCAAAAATTGTTTCCTACTTCTCTCGCAAATACCTCTTGAATCACTCCAAAGAAAAAAGCCTCTAGTTTCCAGTAAGAATCTCTGAATTTCAGTAGTGAAGCGGTGAACCGGTTTAAGTCAATTCCATTCTAGCGCCAGTTCTCGATGAATATCTCAAATTCTCAAGGAGTTAGCAAAATTTTCCTAAAAATCTTTTTTGTAAAGAAAAGTGAAGACTATTGAAAAAGATCTTACAAAAATTTCGCTATCTTTCTTACATTCCGAGTTATTCAACAAAAACTCAACTGACCACTTCACCACTGAATTATTGTAATCGTCTTAAAAGTCAATTGTAATGAAAAACTAATTTTCGCAAAAAAATTGGCTTAATTGGCCTAATAATGCTGTGATAGCAATCTTGTAACTTGGGGATAAAATATTTGTTGATAAATTTTCCCCTATATGAGATATTTTCATCCTGAAAAGGCACCGTCTGGTGTGAATTATCCGCCTCTTGAGCCAAATATTTCGTTGCTGTCGAAAGCAGAACAATTACTCATGTTTGAGACTTTCAAATTCGAACCAAACAAATTCTTTTTTGTCAATTTTCAACTAGTGATTTTGTTGGCCCAAACAAGACTTGTTTGACAACGTGTTTTTCTCTCAGTACGGTTACGAATTTTCAGTTATCTTAGCAAATCAGATCCCACCGACCAAGTATTTGCTAGGCAAACGAAATTATTTTTCTGCATATAGGTTTCGGACCATTCTACTCATCATTTCAAAAATGATATTCTTACGTGTCTTGGTAGAAGATTCCACAACAGCGCTTCCCACAGTTTTCCCCTGTCCCCTAGTGTCATCGAAAACCAGTCCAGGCTGATCAGCAATCTCGTCATCAAAGTACTCCCTCCCCTCTGACAAGCTCAGCGAATTCGAGGCATTAGTCGGGGTACCAGGTGAATCATCCTCATTGACTCCACTCTTCTCAACGATCCTCTCCCTCTTCGATGTCTGATTGTCCGACTGCGTGATGGAAGCAGTCAGACTCTCCACAAGACTGTCGACCGGCGACGTCTCGTCGATAAGAGTGGTGGAGGTAGCAGCAGCTGCTGCAAATGCAGTGTCCTCGATAGTCAGCAGAACTGATCTCAAAGTGTTTTTGGGTAAGGTACCGCTCTTGGCAGCATTGGAGATGGTCTTCATGGCGTCCTGACTGGTTGTCAAGGGGTCCCTGAGGACTTGAGTCGTCCGATACTCGTCGATGGAGCTGAAAGAGTACTCGTCAGCCATCGCTTCACCATGGCCATACTCAGGATCGTCAGAACTCGGGGGGCTGAAGTCAGATTTTATGGAGGGAACCTTCTCAGAGCGAGATCGATCTTTGTAGACCTTTTCCTCCCCCAGGCCCTCGTCGTAGCCCTCTGACGATGTTGTGGACATCGAAGTCGTTGACTCTGTGTATCTGGAGATGTGAAAGACGATTCAGTAAGTGATCTGGAGGATTGATGGAGAGAGCCTCGTAGGAAAAATCATATGGAGAATTCGAAAATTTCCTATAGAATTTTGCAGATGGGATTTCCATATCAGGTTTTTCCCATTGGATTTCCTACAGGATGTCTTATAGGGCTAGGGGGCTATGCCCCCTGCTCGCTCCGCTCGCCAACCCTTATTCTACCCTTGCGACCCTTAATCTGACCTTCATTCTGCCCCTCATTATATTTTGGAGTCTTAATTTCGAGCACCAAATTTTCATCACCAAAAGTCGATTGGGATTTTTACAGTACAAAGAGATATTGAGACCCTTATTTTGACCCTTAGTTTCCCCTAGTGGGAAAACATAAGGTGAAGGCGTAACATGCCTGATCAGAATTTCGAATCGGACTTGATCTGTTTCTGATCGAGACCTGAACAGAATTTCCACTCGGGTCTGATCCCCATGACCCTTATTTGCACCCTTAATCTGACCTTTGTGATGCTTAATCTGACCCTTGTGACCCTCATTATAACCCTAGTGACCCTTATTCTGACTCTGGTGACCCTTAGTTTCTGACCCTTCATTCTTGACCCCCACGTCCCTTATTTAGTCCCTTACTCTGACCCTTGTGATCCTTAATATGATTCTTATGATACTTATTTAGACCCTTCATCTGACCCTTGTCACTGCGAATGCGAATCCGTAACTCACCTATTATCCTTATTAATCACCCTCTGATACTGCACAGTCCTTTCTCGCACGATCCCGGTCCCCAGGTTGCCAGCGAACCCCTTAGGCAGAGGAATGACGGAGATCTCAGTGACGGTGCTGCCATCCTCCACCTCCCTCACATCAAAGCTCTTCCCACTGACAACCATCCTCAGATTTCTCGGTCTGGCAGCATTCCCCCGCCGCCCAGGGGACTCGAACTCCCCGCAGTTGTCCACCAGGTATCCCGGCTGGGAACCAACCCCAGAGTCCTCAGTCCCCGACCCCGACTGGGACCCCCCTGACCCCTTTGAAGCAGTCGATACCTTCCTACTCTGATTGGCAGCAGTCTTGGCGATCTTCGAGTTGGAGTCCGTCACCCTGACTGCGTACTGGGGCTGGGGGAGATGACTCGTGTGGAGGGTGTACTTGGAGACAGGCTCGGGGATGCTGGACATCCTCCCTCTGCTCTCCTGGACAACAGTCTGATGATAAGGAGGATTATTCCCTTGATTACTGAGCCCAGGCCTGACCTTCGGGTTTCCATGGGTTTTTTCAGGGTTGAAGTAACTCCCACGCGCCTTCTCCTGGGTGTAATGACCCTGGCCAAAGTGCGAACCCGAGTGACCCGAGCAGATGTCACCGACTTTATCCGTGAATTTGGCCTGCGGAGAACGAAAACCAAAACGATTTGTGCGAACTGCAACGCCCGATGCTTGCTCCTTCTTCGGAGGCGCTAGTCGAGGTGTCGAACGACCTGAGGAGGCACTCTGCACACGGGTGTGACGATCCTCTTCGTCGATGATTCGATGACGAACTTGCTCGGGGCCCACCGACTTGGATCGCTGCGGGGAGACCTCGGGGGCATTGTTGGCTAGGTAGGCATCACCTCGGGAGCGACGACGGAAGCCGAAGGAGATTGCGGTGCCACGCGTGTGCGGCGCACCCCTCTTCGAGGAGCCCTTCTGGTCGCTCTGGAAATTCAGAGGACAGTTTAGTTATTTATTTGTTTTATAAACAGCTTATTTGTTTTCTAATCTCAAGTTTGGGACCTGAATAATTCATTTTTCATTCACAAACTTTTGAAATATTGGGTATGAATTTATAATTAATTGTTGATAGGGTGAATCGTCCAGTGTTCGAAAGAATAACGTCACAGTTATTTTTGACGTAGATTTAAAAATATAACCAAGTCGAAAATTGATTTAAAAATAATTATAATTCCCCTGTACATCTCCATAGATAATAGAAAAAAATATTATGGATATTAATTGAGGATACAATTAATGATATGAATACAAAAAGCTGAAAATGTGTGAATCGAAAACTGTTTTTTCCACTGGTAATAATGTAACTTAGACATTTTCAATCATCACAATATCATTTGGAAATGTCATAATTTTATTTTTCATGTACAATGTGAGAAATCTCTACCTTCTACTAATTTATTTTATAGAAAAAGTACCAATTAGTTCGATTACTGGTCTGGTTCGAACACTGGTTGGTTCATCCTAATTGAAGATTTCAAACGCTTTGAAATCGCTAATGACGTCACACAGACGAACTTTTCTCCTCTGGAAAAGGGTCGTATGCGCCACTCACTGTTTTCCCTTCATTTTTATGAAGCCGTAAATATCATAAAAATGAAGATTTGAAATAATAATAATTCTTTTCAGTAAAATATAATGATAGTTTTTTTTTATGATAGATTTTTATTTATGGTTTCATTTTTGTGAAACCATAAATATCATAAAAATTTATATATTTATATATATTTATGGTTTCATAAAAATGGAGAGAAAACAGTGAATAGTTTTTTTTTCATTTTTCCACTATTGTAGAAATATTTATGAAAAAAGGTCGGATGCACCAAAAAAATTGCCCTCCAAAGCAGGTATAGGCAATAATATTAGATTTTGACAATATTAAAAAGGGATTATCTTCTTATATTGTTCCAAGTTTAATTATATTTAACAAATTTAAAATATTATAGAATTTATTATCTAAATTTTTCGATTGATGGTGAATAAAATATTTGATAATATTGAAATGTAATTTTTTAGTTAAGGGGAGACTACTATGAGTTTTAAAAGTCGTGGGTTATTGGAGTGAGACTTTTCATACGTTGAAGATCGATTATATAGATCTGAAAACGAATAATTAGTGCAAAAAAAAATTTTCCATTGTTCGTTTGCCCGAAAACGCTTAAAATGTTAAAAATTGTCCAGGGCCTCCAATTTTTGAGCTACAAAAGATTTTTTTTTTTAATTTCCGTGTGTGGAACAACAATTNTGTACCACAGTTTTCATCCGATTTCAACTTTTTTTTTTAATGTTCGCTATACTCCAACGAACAAACGTAAGTTCCGTTTTGCTTTATATTTATCAGATCATGAGAAAATGATTTTTTTAGTTTCTATTTTTTTCCCTCTTTTTAGCAAATGCTAAAATTAGTTGTTTTTCGTTATTCCACGTTGTAATCATACGTAATCGAAATATTATAACAAAAAAANCATTGTTCGTTTGCCCGAAAACGCTTAAAATGTTAAAAATTGTCCAGGGCCTCCAATTTTTGAGCTACAAAAGATTTTTTTTTTTAATTTCCGTGTGTGGAACAACAATTACGAGCCAGTTTTTTTGGAATTCGACTCCTACACAGCTGATTTCTTTTTTTTCATATAAAAAAATTCACTATTTGTATAAAAAAATACAAAAAAAGCAAATTCAGCCATGTAAGAGGCGAATTAAAAAAAAAAGCTCGTAATTGTTATTCTACATATTTTTTCGAAAATTTTGAAAAAAACATCCTTCGTAGTTCAAAAACTGGATGCCCTGGACTGTTTTTGGCATTTTAAGCGTTTTTGGGTAAATGAACAATAAAGAAAAAAATTTTTTTTCCACTAATTATTCGTTTTCAGATCTATATAATCGATCTTCAACGTGTGAAAAGTCTCACTCCAATAACCCATGACTTTTAAAACTCATAGTNCAAACCCAAGTTTCCGTTTTGCTTTATATTTATCAGATCATGAGAAAATGATTTTTTTAGTTTCTATTTTTTTCCCTCTTTTTAGCAAATGCTAAAATTAGTTGTTTTTCGTTATTCCACGTTGTAATCATACGTAATCGAAATATTATAACAAAAAAAATGGGCGGAAAACAACGAATTTTAGCATTTGCTAAAAAGACGAAAAAAATGAAAACTAAAAAAAAACCTTTTCTAATGATCTGATAAATATAAAGTAAAACGAATACTTGGGTTTGTTCGTTGGAGTATAACGAACATAAACAAAAAAGTTGTAATCGAATGAAGACGAAGAAGTGGTCCAAGGAGCATTTTTAAGCTAAAAACGTAAAAAATGACGTTTTTGGTGGATATACGGGGCAAAACGGTTCGGGTGCGTAATTTTTCTCACTTAACAAGCTAATTCTATCTTTCAAGTACAATTTTCAATTATCGAAATAATCGTCAATCTTCCTACCTAAATTATTGGTTGATAGAATATTTCGAGATTCAAATGTACAAATTGATGGTTACTTTAATATTCAAAATTTTTAAGATTTATGTCAAAAATTGACAACTTCACAATTTAACGGTAATTATGATTGATTGATATGCCTATCACTGCTCCAAAGTTGGGTCAAAATGATTCTNGATATAAAAAAGTGAGAAAAATTTCGGACCCTAACTGTTTTGCCCCGTATATCCACTAAAAACGTCGTTTTTCACGTTTTTAGCTTAGAAATGCCCCTTGTACCACAGTTTTCATCCGATTTCAACTTTTTTTTTTAATGTTCGCTATACTCCAACGAACAAACGTAAGTTCCGTTTTGCTTTATATTTATCAGATCATGAGAAAATGATTTTTTTAGTTTCTATTTTTTTCCCTCTTTTTAGCAAATGCTAAAATTAGTTGTTTTTCGTTATTCCACGTTGTAATCATACGTAATCGAAATATTATAACAAAAAAAATGGGCGGAAAACAACGAATTTTAGCATTTGCTAAAAAGACGAAAAAAATGAAAACTAAAAAAAAACCTTTTCTAATGATCTGATAAATATAAAGTAAAACGAATACTTGGGTTTGTTCGTTGGAGTATAACGAACATAAACAAAAAAGTTGTAATCGAATGAAGACGAAGAAGTGGTCCAAGGAGCATTTTTAAGCTAAAAACGTAAAAAATGACGTTTTTGGTGGATATACGGGGCAAAACGGTTCGGGTGCGTAATTTTTCTCACTTAACAAGCTAATTCTATCTTTCAAGTACAATTTTCAATTATCGAAATAATCGTCAATCTTCCTACCTAAATTATTGGTTGATAGAATATTTCGAGATTCAAATGTACAAATTGATGGTTACTTTAATATTCAAAATTTTTAAGATTTATGTCAAAAATTGACAACTTCACAATTTAACGGTAATTATGATTGATTGATATGCCTATCACTGCTCCAAAGTTGGGTCAAAATGATTCTGCAGAGCCCAAATCGTCCAAATTTCATGTTCCCTAGATTAGGTTTATGCGACCTTTTTTGACTTAGCACGCGACATGTTTTATGGGGAATTTCATAATCTCCAAAAAAGATGTTCTGAAGTTTTTCTGTGAATCCACTCGTTTCTAAAATATTTAACAGTAAATAATCGTAAACCCACTCGTTTCTGTAATATTAAATTAATTTTCACTTCACAACTAAATACTTCCGCCCATACACGCTGCACGAAAAGAAATATTGAAAAAATTATCGCCACAAGAAAAACGTCCATTCACAGCTATAAAATTGTACCGAACCTCACACTCCAGTGAAAAAACGACTAAAAATTACTTGAAATCAATGGAACTTCTCAATAATGAATTCATTAGCACCAGACATTGCGAAATCAAGTCTTTATGCCGCGGGAAGAGTGTTTATTTCGATTAAAACCATAGAACTATTTGATCTCTCCACTAATGAACTCATAAACCCATAATCATTGAACGTTAAACTGTCGACTGAGAGAGAAAATTGTCTGTGTCCACTGGCCACAGACTCGCGTTCTATTTTAAGTGCTCCTCCTCGAAAACAGGGATGACAGTGGTTTCCGTCATCATATCCCCCAAAAGACAATTACAGCTCTTCTCAACTGACTCACAGCGTTCTCCCTCAATTGCCCGTGAAATTAAAACCCCCATGAAATCCCGAAACATTCTTACTTAATACATGCAGATCATTGATGAACTTTGAAAAGAGGGAATTGCAGAAAAAAACAATTGTCAGATTTAATTTTGAGAATATGTAAGAAATGACGAGGTTTAGGAAAAAAATTTGTTTGGACACTTTTCTCAAAATAGAGAACAAAATCCTGAAATTTAGAATAAAAATGGATAGAGTATACTCCAACTTTGCAATTTTTAGGTTTAGAAAAAATTATTCTTATTTTTATAAAAAATGGATAGATAGTAAATTTCTTAGAATCAATGCTTGATTTATTAGAATCAAATAATTAATTCTAGTATTCAAAAATTTTTTGATTGAACTCCTTTTTTTTGTTCTCAGAAACATTTTTTCAAAAACATTGAAAAAAAACCTCTGTAGCTTAACAATTGGAGGCCCCGGACTATTTCTAACATTTTAAGCGTCTGCGGTGCAAACGAACAAAAAACAATTAATTTTTTCCACTAATTATTCGTTTTTCGTCATATACAATCGATCTTCAATGTATGAGAAATCTCACTATAATATCCCACGACTATTAAAGTCTACAGTAGTCTCCCCTCAACAGCACTGGACTTTTTCTAAATAATTTCTCTCCGTCTACTAACTAACAACTAATGTTAAAACCAGCTGTCATCAGACCGTTTTCCACAGGCATTTGAATTGTCTACGACTGTCTTTTAACATTTTTCCCCTAAATCTACTCATTCTCGAGATATCCCGTAAATAACGGTATGTGACGCAAAATATCTTTACTTAATACATGCAGATCATTGATGA